AAGTTCTTAATTTAAAAATAAAGAAATTTTTAAAATATTTTTGTTACACAGAAGATAATTGACGACATCTTCTCTTTCTCAATTACTGGATAAGTTTTCCCCCCTACGCCAATGGGAAGAAAATCCGCACTTATCTCTTTAGGAAGAGAGTATCCACTTATCTGTCTAGAGAATATTTTTATAAGACTGTTAGAAGTTAAGTAGAAGTTGCATATTATAAAAATTAATTTAAAGACCACTAGCATCGAAGAAGATTTCATTAATATTGATGGATTCGTGAGAAGTAAATTAGAAATATCCAACTTAATTTTCTGCTTTAATAGTTTATAATGCTTAAAAATTAAACATTTTCACTTGGGTTATTAGATTTTAATGGGAAAGAAGGTAGGAAAATTGGTTAACTTTATTTATTACTTATAAATATTATTGTTTTTATGTACCACGCGGTACATATAACTATTTATTTTTTTAAAAATTTATTTAAAAAATATAAAATTTCTAACACAAACTAAATGAAATATAGCCTATAACTCTTTTTGGGTTGCAATTTGAAAAAAATTGTAGACCTACAGATTACCACTGTCGTCCGTCTGTTGTCTGTCCTTCTTTAATCTCGAGAACGGAGACAAATAAATGAAAGCCGAGACCAGATATGAAAATACTATAAACAAACTTCCGGTCTAAACTGGAAGGCACGGGATTTCAATTCAAAAATTTCTCCTTGAAAGGAATTAGATAGCTGACCGGTACGACTCCATTGCTAACAGGAAAAGTATGATGTACAGTACTGTACAGTACTGTATAAAAGCAAGACATTACTAATTTGAGATGGAGAGCATATATTTTAAATTAAATAAATTAAAAATAATATGATTAAAAATAACATGCAATTAAATTAAATTGCATTTATTGCATTGCATTAAATTGCATTGCATTGCATTAAATTGCAGCCCGGCATTGTGACGACGTCACAATAAATAATTGCTCGTTCTATTTATATATCTCCTTTGATCAACAATCATATATTTTAATTTCCATAGAATTTCCATCTATCTTTAATGGATTGTTGTCTATATGTAAAAACTTCATATATTTTATTTTCTGAAAAGAACCACAAACAGATGTTTCAGATTAATCATTATATCTGTTGCACGGACAGATCTAAGAACAAGTCAGCGTAACAAACGAGATAGAATATCATTTGCAAAACATTTACAAACTTAGAAGAAACATTTACAGCAAAAATTTTTCTGTCGGAACAATGTATTTAAAAATATAATGCGAGTAAAGAAAAACGAACTATTAGTGTGTCTTCAAATAGAAGAACAAAAATAATATAAAAAAAAATCTATTTTCTTTCTTGTGACCAAAAGCCCCAAGGAAGAAAGAAGCTGAAATTGCAAAGAATTAATTTAACTTTTCTTTAAATTTAGAAAACTGTGATTGTTTGGAATTGCTTAACCAGTCCATGAATAAAATGAAAAGAGAAGTTATGAAGATGCAATGATAAACAATGTATTTTCTTGATATGTTTTTCTATAATTACACTATTTATAATGTGAACACATTACATGAAATCATTTTTTAAAGTTTATTCCAACGATTTCTTCATGAATTTTTCATATTCTCTGCGTGTTATTATTATTTAATCATCAATTTAAAATGTAGAATGTTTCCGCATTCATAAACATGGACTACAACTTATTATGATTGTCTTTTTTTTTTCGTATTTATCGATGTTTCCATTTTAAATTTAAAACCTTTTTTCTTTCTCAAATAATCTCCACGTTCTCTTTTCATTCCCATAAGTAGCATTATTCATATCTCTTTGGCAGGTCCTTATATTGGAGTAGAGTGGATGTCATTGAATGTATTATGATGCATTCTTTGTTATGTAAACATCTACTGTAAAGAGAGAATATGTAAATATACGCTACAGTACATTTATATAAGCCTATGTCAGATATACATATATGTAGTGTAAAGAGAACTTTAAGATTTTATAAATTTATTATTCATCTGTTTTCTGGATAAACTTAAACTCTCTGGATGTGAATGGCATCCATTTGGCTTTTTTGAAATAACATCAATTCTTGTATTTAAATTTTCTTCCAAAAAATTATGCTAATAATATAAATTTTATATATGTAGCCTAATAAAATTCTTTCAATATGTGGATCTGTATACAGGATAATCATAAGCAAATACGAATACAAACTATAAATAAATTGAAAATTTCTTGGAAAATTATAAAAGAAATGTATACTTCATAAATATATGTTGCCTTCTATAACATATATAGGCCTATGATGCTTTTATTAAGCGCATTTTATATATTTTAACTCGTTAGAGACATAATTAATAAAAAAATATTATCAAATTATAAATTATGAACAATTTTAGCATTCAGCTATACACCGTGGCACGTTATCTTATACGCAAAAAAAGGGCAATTGTTCCCATCAACAGGAGGCCCCAAACCAATCTTTTATAAGAAAATATTTTCCCGAAAAATTCCCCTGAAGAAAAATGTTTGAAGTTAACACTATACATTACATGGGGCCCCGTAATTCAAATTTGCCTGGGCGCCCATGAATCTATAACGCACCTATAGCTATACACGAATATCTATAGCTATACACGAATATTTTGTGTGATGTATACTTGTTTGTTCTGTGGGACATAATTCAAATTATGTTTTCAGAACATTTTCAGGAATTTCATAAGAAAATTTAATACGTAAAAATAAATTTAAAGGTAATTTCTTAAACAAAGTTTACATCAAAATAGCATTTTATGCTTAGAAATAAAAAATTTAATATATTCAAAAGTCATCAATATTTAATTTTTTCCCATCCAAAAATAATTTTTATTGCTGAATTCCACAACAATCAAATTTAATGAAAAAGTTTGAAAAATGATTAATCTAAACAATACTTGATTGAAAAAGCAAGAAGTTGAAGTAAGAAGTATCTCTTTTGTTTTTTCTTCAGCCAGTCATCGTTAAGATAATCATATTTTAAATAAATCTTTATATAAAAAGTATTATACTAATATCTCCGCAGGAAACCGTCTACATTAAAGGAAACAGGCTGCTTAATTTTCTCATTTTCATACCTTAACATTATTAAATTCTTAAGATTCATACTGCGGATTATACAGTAAATATTCAAGTTTTTTTAAACAGAATTTACGACTTATCAGCTTAAAATATATATGTATCTAATAATGTTTTCAGAGTTTTAACGAAATATTCAAATCTCTTTAACAAGGAATTGTGTAAGCATGAATCTACTGTGAATATTAATTATTACACTATTATTTCGCATCTGGTGTATATATTAACCATATACACCTTATAAATGGTTACGGAATAGCTAATGGGATATTTTCTCTTCTTTTTTTTGAGGAAGTTGGACATACTAATCTTAATATAAAATCAATTTTTCAAAGCAGCGAGGCATATTCCTGGCTAGTGTTTTATCATAGTCAAATTTGATTTTCTCTTTCTGTTATAATCCATTAAAATTCAGCCAATTTAACTTGATGGCTAGTTTACATCAGATGTAGTTGTTCTCCTTCTTGGTCATTTTCTTGTAGTATCTTGTAACTGTTTCATTTATACTTAGAATACATTTGACTCCTCCTAAAGATTCTGCTTAACATCACTCTCTTTTTTAAAAAAAATTAATTTAATGCTAACCTCATTTTTAATTTTGTTAAGTATTAGTAATAAATATTTCAGTCATTTATAACATTAAAACCTTAACGATGTAACTCATTTAGGCTCTTAACACACACACAAAAAAGGGAAAAAATATTAATGTTTTTTAACATTTAGATTACAAACAACTTATCACCTTTTATAAGCGAAAAAATTCCAAAAATTTTAATTTAAAATTATCTTAAAATTTACTTATGATAATTAATTTAAAGTTATTTACTATAAAAATGAATTTCGACAAAATAATTCATAAATGAGAGAGGAAAAAAACAATTCTAAATTATCATTTTTAAAAATAAGAATATCAATATAATCAATGAAAGAAAAACAAACGAATTCAACTAAGTTAAAATTTAAAAAGAAAATTATTAATATGCAGTTAATCAATCACAAATGAATTCTAAATATAGAATAACAAGAGAAAATTGAGCTCAATTAATTTAAGTTTGAATAATGATTACATTATACGATTTATCTATGAAAATTACCGAGTTAATTAAAATTTAACATAAACAATAAACATCAGTAACAATAAATAATGCAAATAAACTCGCACTGAAAAATAAATAACACTGCTCATTAATTCATTGTAAAGGCTTAACAATAAAGTTTTAAACCTCGATCAAATAGCCTAAATATATTAATTTACTATTGACAGTAATCTCGATATCGTAAACAGTAATCTTGATCATCGTTTAACTGTAATAAAGGAGAATTTTTTTCTTTAAATTACACAGAAATTAGCCAGTTTTGTTAAACACCATTTATATTTACACAGTAAAGTAATTAAATTTTACTACCTCCCTTCTTTATACGAAAATTAAATAAATTGCTTCACATACTATCGTTGAAGCCAAAATTTAAAGTTTATTCTTAATTTTTAAATATGTTTTCGAATTATAATTTTTTTAAAAATAAAGAATTATATAAAGTATTATTGCAAATTAAACAATAAATTAATCCAATTTTTCTTAGTTGTGACGATTAATAACTTTATAATTAATTAATTAATAAGTTTAAATTAACCAATCTCTGTTTAATAATTTTTTTTCTTCTCCGCCCACTTTGAGTGGGCGTGGTCAGCTATTTTTTGTTATTACGTGCAAACTTTTAAGATAATGACTAAATTAATTAGAAAATATTAATTTAGCTTTTAAAATTATTCTGTAATTAAGTTATTTTATTTCTTAAATTATTTTCATATATATATACATATATATATATATATGTATATATA